TAGGAAAAATATTGATGTAGCTAACGGGTTGCTTAAATGAAATTCATACCAAGCTATTGGTTTAGATCGTCTTGTAAGTAATATATAACTGCATCTTGCAGAAATTAGACCATAACTAATAATAAAAACTGCACTTGCCCTTATTTAATTAATTGTTTCTTACTAACCTACATATTAATAAATAAGCCTTACTTAATTACAAAGCACGTAAGTAATTAGAGCAATTTAATCGACATTAAAGTTGTTGCTTGATAATTGTAATTTTTTCATTCAGTGAATACAATTAAAAGGTGTGTATTATGTTGAAAAGTAGTACCTACCTATATTCAATATACTTTCTTGTGTTTAGATTTAATTTTGATGGTTATCAGACAAAGAAATGTTACGTTTATTTCCTGCTTATCAGTCATTTTATGCTTGATTTCAGGTGCACTATATATAGGGTGGTTCAAATCCGTGGCTCATCATGGGGATCTTCGTAACGGTGAGAGACAGTCACTCTTTAAGTGCACAAATTTACTTTTACATAATGATGGGTTTACTGTGAAGGTTGTAATTTTTGTAGTAATGTAATCTAGTCTAATCGTAATTTGTAGCTTTTAGGTTGAGTGGGGTCAATCTACATTTCCTATTTTGGAAAGGGGCCATTAAAACAATTAACAATATCTGGAAGTATTAGGAACTTCTGCGACCGTTAGAGTTACAAAAAGTAAAATAACAACATCAATAAACCACAACAATGTAAAATATCGTATAACATAGGGAAATTTGCAATTTGTGCCGCTTCATAGTACACTTGAACTAAAGTAAGTTAGGCGATAACAAGCGATAAAAATAAACTTATTCAGGAAATCGAGCGATCTCTGTCGACCTGAAAGTTGCGTTCATTCCATTTGCCCGCTGAAATTCCTCCGTTTCGGTTTTTATGACGGGCCAGATTCATAAATCATAAGAAGTGGGAGAGCGAGTATTTAAAGCTGATTTTTTCGAGCGAGCAGATATCAATTTGGGTACGCTAATTATTGCGATTGGTGGGTTATTTCAAGTAAAAACAAAAAGTTTTAGTTAAACTTCAAGAGCGACCACGTACAAATACAGGCGTGTGAAAAAATTGATCCGCGTTCGATATTTTTAGCTACGCATTATTTTGTAAAGTAAGGAAGAAGGAAAAGGTTTTAAGCAAGCGAACATGGCGCTAAACAGCGCTTTTTGTTTGGTCAGGTGTTTGATAGTGGCTCTTTTTTTGGTGGAAGACGTGAATCGAGTTTTTTGTGGACGTTGAAACGTAGCCGTGTTTGAGTGTATTTGTTTGCAAAACAGTCACTGGTGTCATTATCGAGGCTGTGTACAGGAAAATTGATTGAGCGCTACGAGTTTTAAAATATTGAAGTTGTCGTGTCTAAAAGTGGGTAGCGGTAGCGTATTTTCCCGTTTATGAAAAAGTCATGTTGCAACGAAGCGGTGAACTCTGTAGATGAACACCCGGCATCGAGAAGGGTTTTAAGTTGGGCGCTTCTTTACAAAGATTGTCGCTCTGCAAATATTTATTTCTGCGTAGGAATTGGAAATATAACGTAGAAATTAGTAGGTTAATTTGTAGAGTTGCCCATTAAGAAAAATAAGAATCCGTACGTAATTTGCCGTTTGCAACCGTTCCTGTAGGAATATTTAAGTTGTTTTTATGACCGCTGAACGCTCTCTTGCCAAGAAAGAAGAGAGAGAATCAATCTTATTCAGTTTTAGGTCCCTTAATTATCCATTAATTGTTTTTAATTATCTAAATACGAAATCCAGCATTAAAATCCGCAAAGTCGTGCAGTTTACGGAAATAGGAGACCCCACATTCTAAGGATATTGTTGGACTGTCGAATTGGGAGATTTCATTCCGACTATTTGGATAAGTGTAATTAACCGTAATTAGTTGAACAGGTTACAGATAACAGTTTCCGATTACGTCGAGATTACATCCGTTAGGTGCGCCCTTAAAAAACTTGAATTTTGACACAGGTCCTGTATTTTTAAGACATCTGGGAAGGCTGCAATTAATTAAAAACAGTTTTAATTTTCGAGCGTTATCGCAAGGACACGCCGTCGAGCAGGCAAAACCGTCGATTCCACCAACACATAGCCGAAGTAAGGTAAACGCTAACCGTATTTAGATCTTTGGCATCTTTTTGCATTTGGTTGTTTACCGAAACGCAAGTTTAACCAAAACTTAAAATCTTTTGCCTTTTGCATCTTTTTGCCTTTGGTGGTTAACCGTATTTAAATCGTTTGCTTTCTGGCTTTTGCGTCTTTGTAAACTACGTTTGGTCAGTACCGTATTAAATTTGCATATTTTCAGTTAATTTATTTTGCATTCAGACCGTCTAATTGTTTCTTCTTCTACATTGGGTTATCTATAGTTTTTGATTTTCCCTGCGGTAAGTGTTTTGCTACTTTCCGTTTCGTTAATCATTTATAAGGGGGTGGGCAATATTCATTCCCGTACATACGTACCGAATCCGCTTATTTACTATTCGCGCTTACCCTTTATAATTCCTGGGACCGCCATTCTCTATTCGATATACTGGAGCTTACCAACGCCGACCGCAGCTTGTCCAGAAGCAAGAGAGGCCGGAGCACCCCCGCTCCGATGTCTCCTGCCGTCGGGCGCCGTCACGTCTACAGATTTTGACTAGTAAATTACCGCCGAATATTCCATTTTCTTACCTTTAAATTACATTTTTTTGTATAAAGAAGAATCGAAGTCACCGTTTGTGTGCGAACTTCCGGTGAAAGTTCATCGCACTGTGGTTATCGAGCGTATATCGCCTTAGAGAAGGGGTTCAGGTTATCAGTTAAAGGGAGTTCGTGTCCATCAAAGGGCCAATAATTGGCTACTGATCGCTTGTAGCGTGGTATGCGTTACTCTGGCCCTGAGTGCCTGTTTTTCTTTCAGCCTGATTATTTTATGCCAAATAATTTTCTTCGTCTGTAAATGATTGGTTTTGTGATTAATCTAGACCCAAACTGCGACGTAGATTAGAGTTTTCATGCAAAATTGTTCTATTTCGTACCCAGGTGTTAATTAAAGATTTGCTCACCAAGTGGGGGTAAGGCTTCTGGATTTTGTTTTCAAATTAATAACATTTACGCCAATATCGAGATTTTCGCCGTGGCGGCGACTGAACAAGCCCTAAAAGAATTGTAATTGTTTTTTTTAATGTTTTATTAGTACTTGAGTTTAGTGAAGGTAGGTGGACAGGTGTTTTGTGGGTGGCTTAGTGACCATTTGTCATTGTACATATCATTTTATATTTGGGGTACAACGTGAGGCATACAGCAATATTTAATTTAAAAAGATAACATATTAAATTCTCTTTTCTAAAATTAACATAACAAAATTATTACTAATGTATTAAGTAGGGAGGTACTTTCAAGTACGTTTAGGACTTATGTTGTTTCTTTCCTTTTTTGTAATAGAGTAATATTTAACCGAGATAATTTTGTATAAATGAGTAAAGAAAGTAATACATAAATAATTTTTTTTAAAGGTTTTTAAAATCTGTTTTGTATTTTTTGAATCATTAAACTCCTTTTAAAAATTTTCTAATCACTCGTTTTGAATCTTCTTGAATGTTATAAAGAAACTGTTCTAATAAATATTATTCTGTCTTTTTGAACAAAGAAAATAAATGGTCATTCTGGAATTGTGTATTGTTCGATTTTCCCCCTGTATATCTTAAGCGATTTTCAAATTTTGATTTTATTATTTTAAGTTCGACCTGATACCCGTTACACAGTTTGGCGGTTTTTAAGTGAGACAATTTATCATTTTACAATGTGCAGGTATATTACTCAGTTTCCTTTTCAAAAAGTGAATATATAATACGATTTAATTTTTTGCGTTGACCTTCTTAGTATCTTGGTCGAAGATACGGTACAAACCTACCTTCTCGAGATGCTCCTCTTCTTATATGGGCTTTACTTGTTTTGGATGGCACATGTTGTTTTCTTATATACGATCCTTTTTCATCCATAGCACATATTGTAAATTCTTTTACGAAAACTCTCTGACAGAAATATGTTTTGTCCTGTGCAGGGTTGCCATATTTACTTATATTGGAAATGAGGCACAGAATGAGATACAGACGAGGGACATTCCGTACGGCTCATACGGGGCACGTAATATCCCTAAGACAAGGGGTATTTTTCCCTGCAGAAAATATGAAAATTTGCATTAGGTTTGGCAATACGTAAACCCGAAATCTAACTAATATAATTTGATTTTATTGATCACCATACGTGTACATAAATAATAGAGGTCTATATAATGTCAATTAATTAGAGGGGGTCTGGTGTCTTATTTACGGATAAACTCAAATAATTTGGATTATTTAGAAAACGAACTGTAAATAATTCTCAGATTTTCTTTATTTGTTATCGATCGCCTGCGTACGAGGTATTTTTGTAAAAAAGAACAACTAGCATTGTTGCCTTTTCCTTTATTTCAGGGAGTTGTCATATTGTTCTCATGTGTTTTGGAATACATTTTTGAAATTGTCATCTATTTAATGATGTGTTAAATCTAATCAAAAATTTACGATCTAGATAGCGTACTCGTCAGATTTTCTTATTCGTGCCCAAGATTTCATGAATTTTTTTCTAATTAACCCTTTGGAATTTACGGAAGTCGATTAAGACCACTGAGTTTCCAAAATTGAGTAATTTCGGTCAATATTTGGATTTTTCTTTTTATCAGATGCCTAATGTTAGTTGAACAGATGTTTTGTGAGTCGCATACTTTTAATGTAGAATCCTTTCAGTCGTTATCGTTTATTATGCGAAGCATTTTATGACCACTTCAATAATGAGTGCTTTTATGTTATCTCGTTGATCAATATGCAAAAGGAGCGAACAGTGTTTTGCCGAACTGCTGAAAATAATACAAAATATAAAAAAACAAACACTTTTCAATTAAAATCTTTATTACTTTAACAAATCTACGATTAAAGACAAAGTTACAAGATTTAGTTTTCTGCCCGATTAATTTGTATAGTATTCTTAATAATTAAAATAACAAACAAACGATCATTATTAACATTGATCTTTGAAAATTTGCCTCTTTATCGTATCATATATACATGATGCCACAATATAACACGACTATTCCGTTAAGCAAAACTGTTTAAATATTAACTGGACCAGATTTATGATTTTTTCTAATATACTGGAAAGTGGTCCCTTAAGCTATCAAGCTAACGGTTGCGCAGTACTTCTTTTTTCGAACATACTTTTAGTTCGGTACATTTTTTTGGGTGTGTACTTTTTACAGTGGTGCAAAGGTTAACTTGTAGCGCATACAACAAGGGCTAACAACTTTACGGACGTATTATTTGTGCGGGGAGACTAGTCGATTAAAACGGATTGTGGAACGTAACAATCATCATTATCGACAGTTAACTAAGGAATTTTTGGTCTTATGTGTATAATTACGATTATTACGTTCAGAAAACTTCTTACATCAAGAGGATGGATCTATTATTATTATACATTCGTATTGTGGAGTAATTATTGGTGTTCTATCAAGGTTGGTTAAGAGGGTGATATGCAACGTTGGACAAATGCCATTTTGTCAGCTACCTTGGGATGTTAAGTGTCATTCAAGTATATTCGTACGACATATTTTGTCAGTGTGTCTCGCCTTTGAATTTATTTACGCGTTACCTTGACTCTGCGTCCTACGTACGCTTTTGTGCCGTTTTGACTGATGTCACGGTTTGCTGTCGCTTGTGTAAGTTGAAGGTAGATCATTGTATATAGCACTAGGACCTTCATTACTGCAAACTGAATCTTCAGGTGTGCGAGACGGTTCCGCTTCCGTCGTCTCCTCTTCCTTTTTGGCAATTCGGTGCTTATTTCCATATAAGTTCTGCGAAACAAATGCACGAGTGAAAATAATTAGGTACATAATAATATTACTATTTAAGTTGAATGTTGGTGTCGGAAGTAAAATTATGAACCGAAACGAAACAACTTTCAGTTAAGTGCTCAGCGCCTTGTTATTGGCAAAGGAAAGTGCATACATCAAATCAACAGTAAAGCTCATACATGTACCTACATTTCCAATTAAATAGATGGGACAATTCGCACCGGATCTCTATAGTCATGCATAATGGAAAGGAAATGCAAAATTTAATAAGCCCTGAAATTACCATAACATCGACGGCCCAATATTTCGATTGTGTGACGAGTTTGTAACGGTCCTTTTCCGTTCAAATAACTATATCCGCTCAAGAACATGTTTATCGAGTATATTATCAGGTTCAAGTACGGAACTGGATCCGGAAGAGTGGGGTTCGAAGCTAATTGATAATATAGGTACTGGAACCAATCCACACACTACTTCCATCTGAACCAGAGAATCTCCTTAATACTATTCTTTGCAACTGCAAAAAGGGATATAATTCGAAGTGCAGCTACAAAAAGGTCGGTTTGTTTTGTTCACCAGCAGGCACCAGTTGTCAAGGCCAGTCGTGCTCAAATTTTGAATCTCCAACAGAAGAAGATCCTTACATCGACGACGGCACAGCTGATGTATCGCTGTTTGAATAATTTACGTTAACTCAGGAAGAAGACGAAGAAGAAGAAAAACAATATGGAGAGAGAGAATACGAAGGAGAAGAAGAAATTGAATGAGAAGACTACTAAGAATAAAAATAGATCGTGGAGTAGACCTACTGGGGACACCACGTTAAAAAAAACACGTCAAGTACACTAGAACTTTAGAGTAAATTTTGGAAGTAATTTTTCAGCTTCTTTGGAATTTACGCAAGGGTACCCCGGGCTGACTTGACTAGACTATTATGTTCTTGTAGGATGTAGTATGCTAAAAACGAAAATTAGGGAGTGTACGTAACAGTTAGGGGTCCCGGAAGGAGCTAAATGTAGTTAAAACGAATTGAAAAATTAAAAAAAAAGGTTTTCGCCCTAAAGTGAATAACTTTAGCCCATTTTACATGCGTTGATCAGTATGTCCCAAAAGGCCATAACTATGTGATCTATGGTTCTCTTTATTAGAACCATCAATTTAAAGAAATGTCGCTCTAAATAAGAAAGTTAACATTGTGTAGTATGCACATGCGCACACCTGATGGTTACAATATTCGAAATGTGTGCCTTTACTAGAAACATACGTGGTCAGAATTTGTATTTGGATTTTAAGCAAAATATATTCATTTCATGCTTTACCAACACAAACTGGCCAAAAAATTTGCCCCTTAATAGCGGATGGGCGCTTGTCGCCACTGTTTGTAGTAGGGTTTGTAGTAGGGTCACTGTACTTTTTTGCACATAACTTTAATTTTGTCTTGTGTACAAGCCTGCAAATTATGCTTGATTCGCCATTTGTTTCCTGAACCTGAAAAGGATATCATCATATTTCTTTGGAGTGTTTCTCCCTATTTCTGATGTGTTGTCGCTTCTCCATTGAATACGCTTAGCGGATTTATATTTGCAAAATATTAGTGTGAGGTACGTACAAATATTATCACTCCGAATTATGTAGTTTAATCAAGAAAATAAGTCAATAAGAGACCCTTTCAAAACGTGTTTTATTCGAAATTTGTTGCATAGTGATCCCTTGTAACCCATAATTGAATATTATCATTGACTTTCGCGTTTTACTGTCACTCAAAAATTGATGCTATTGTTTAGAGATATAGGACTAAACGCCATGGAAACACATAGTAAAATCGTGAAGAGAAATAACACTTTCCATACGATTTTCTTTACAAAAACAAAATCCGGTAATTGATCACTGCAAAAAAGCAAAATTTGAGGTTTATTATTGAAAAAATGAAGTATCTCGAAGTTATCGCTCAAAAAAGAATGGCTAATTTAGGATGTAAGGACCAAAGGACGATATCGATTCCTTGCGTCTTCTAACATACAAGTTTCTTTCAGATTCTGTTTCCACAGACGGACGCGTAAACCTTTCCTCATAATATTTAAGTATCACTGTATTCTGCTGAATTGCCAGAGCCAATAAATCTCCTCCCAACTTGTTACCGACATTTACTAACTCCGTTCTAAAACCACCCGCAAGACAACAAATAGCTACTACCGTGCATAGGCCCATTTTCCAATGTCTTCCGCGATTTCCTTCGCGACCATCGAATGTGATTCCTTTGGGGGTGAACGTTTTTAGGGAGACCATAGCACCCAGGAATCTTGGGGGTATGAGAGCCTCAAGATTTTATGACTTGTGTAAGTAAATAAACACTGAATCTTTCTTTTTTTCCGGGGGGATGGTACATTCGCCAACACCCTCCGGTTCTACATTCTTCTGTACTGCTTTTACCGCTTACACACCGTCGTTCTTAGAAAGGAGTTGAACCTTTTGAGGCAGGCCGTAGCACCAGGAGACCTGAGTGGTATGGAATACCTTCACGGCGTTTGTCTCAAGTATTTGTGATATGGATAATGAACATTGAGCCTTCCTTTCCTGCATGTTTCTGTCCTTTAGTAGTGATTGGTTAAATAAAATGTTATCTTCTCCCTCCCTCTCTGAATAAGCTTACTATTCTTCCTATTCCTTTCACTGTACATTTCTGTTGAATTTTGTTGATTTTGAAGACTATGAAGGATATGGAGTATGGGAAGGATTGTGTACTGTGTAGGATTTTAATCATGACATGGTCCTGAATAGATTGATCTTGATGTTCTAAATAATCTCAACGATCTGAGTGATCCCGAGGCGTCTGGGTGACCTGAATGATCTATAAAATCTGAGGGATGTCAAGAATCCAGAGGATCTGGAAAAGTATACAAAATCATTAAAAAATCGGATAAATCACAAGCACGATCTTTAGAAGGTGAGAGATCGAAATTGTTTGAAGGCTTGGAACGGGTTCAAAAATTCTGAAGCATGAAATAAACAATCTAAATGATCTAGAGGCTCTGAAAGATCTGGCCGATTTGACCAAGACCTTAACGATCTGAACTATCTGATCGACCTGCCGGATCTGCAGAATGTGAACCTTATGGACGATATAATGTGATTGATGAGATCTTAACGATCTGAAGGATTTGGGACATTTGAAGATACCCCCATCAACCTGTACTTAAAGGGTTTGAAGAATTTGAAGGAGCTGCAGTTGAATAGGAATTTAACACACTAAACCTTCCCCATACTTCTTTATTAAAAAATTGTGAATAAAATCACATAGCGACTATAGTTTCGACCTAAGTCATTTTCAAGCTGTAGGAAAATTGTAACTAATAACGAGTAACAATCTTGAAATATACATACCTTAAAATTTAAAACATCAACAACAGAAAATAGGAAATTGAAAGTACAGAAGTTACATTTTTTATCAGTATGCTGGAAAGAACATGTGTTAACCACTAGTTGAACATAATTAATACTTACAGGAAAAAATTTTTTATCAAATATAAAACAGTTGGTGTTAGGACATAGAAAAGTGGAACAAAATTAACATAGTCATGATACAACGACGATTAATTAATTAATTCATGCCATTAGAAAATGGACGCAGCCATCTTGTACAAATATAGTCAACGACTTAACTCGAAAGGTAACGAAAAGGGAAAGGTTAAAGAAGGAAATAAAAAGCGGGAAATTTAAAAACAACAAGGTTAAACAGGGCCGGATTAGGTAACGGGACGAAGTGAGAAGAAAGGTGAAAGAATGCAACATAGCTTGCATTAGGCTATTGTTATTTAATTGTACTAAAATTTATGGGCCAAACTACCCTGTGCCTGCTGATGGCAGATGTCGGGACTCGCGGAAAGATTAATGTGCCCTCAAGTTGAAAACCCCCCAATCTGCTGAAGGCAGAAAAAGGGGAAAAAAGGGGGGGGGGGAGAAACACCACGTTGACAAGCGTAAAGGGGTAGGGGTTAATTAGTCAAGAATAACAAATGCTTGTTTAGATTTAAAATTTCGTTCAAGGAGTGTTGAGGATTCTCTCTGTAGTGATGGTAAATTTCTTTCATTTCTAGTAAGTCTAGTTTGAGGCTTTTATTACAAACATGAAGAATTTCAAAATCCTCCTTCGAAAACGAATGACCAGAACTCAGGATGTGGTGGGCAAAGGAAGAACCTTGGTTAGGGTGATCGAATTTGAGGTTATTGTTTTTGATAGCGGAAACGTGTTCGGAAAACCGGGTTTTGAATGAGCGACCAGTTTGACCAATATAACCAGCTGGGCAATCTCGACAAACCAATTTATAAACCCCTGATTTAGATAAGGGAGGTATAGGATCTTTAGTTTTCACCAAATTAGACTTGAGATTACTCTTGACTGAGAAGGATATGGAGATGTTGAGGGGACGGAAAAGACGAGCAATGATATCAGAAATCGGGCCTATGTAAGGTAAGGAATAATAAATGGAAGGGGAATCAGGGACCTGAGAAAGGGAAGTGCACCTCGAGAGGTTGTCTTTACACAGCATTCTACGGTATAACTTATTAATCATCTGTAACGGGTAATTGTTCGCTAAAGCGATATGATAAATGATGTTAAGTTCTCTCGAGTGGTGGGGTTCGGGAAGGTCAAGGGAAAGGAGTCTATGGAAAAAATAACGGAAGGAAGTAAGTTTGTGTGATAAAGGGTGACACGAATGATAAGGGATAACATGGTCCGTAGTGGTGGTTTTTCTGTAGATGCCGATTTCAACATTAGCAATTCCTCTAGTGAGTGACAGGTCTAAGAAATTGAGGGACTTATTAGATTCGATTTCAAGCGTGAATTTGATATTCTGATGAAGGGAATTCAAAATTTGGAAACACTCATGTAACTCGGACCTATTACCTCTAAAGATAACCAATATATCATCGACATATCTCTTGTAAAACAAAAAATGAGTTTTAATGACCTCGGACTGGAAAAGTAAGGATTCCAAATGGTTCAGAAATATTTCAGCGAGCAAAGGGGATAAATTACTACCCATCGGTAGACCTGAAGTTTGGATATAGTAGTTATTATTGAAAGAGAAATAATTCTGTTGAGAACACAATTGGAGGGATCTGGAAATGAAAGAACAAACTTGGTCAGGAAGCGGGGAATGGATAAGGAGGTCGTCAATTATATTCAGACATTCTATAAAGGGAATACTCGGGAACAAGTTGACGATATCAAAGGAAACAAGGATATCCGAATCAGTAATCCGGAAATTTTTAATATCCTCCACTAGGGTAATGGAATTTTTGATTGAGTGGGGAAATTGGAGTGCAAGAGAATTTCTAAGAGCAGAGTTAAGCCAACTAGTGATCTTGGAAACTGGGGTGTTGGTGAAGGAAACAATTGGTCTTATAGGGTAACCTGGTTTATGGATTTTGGGAAGGGCATATAATCTGGGAAAGGAAGGGTTCATGTGTGTAAGACGAAGATAAGGAATCTGGAAATATTCATAAAGGAGGGATTTGTTGTCAAAGAGAAATTTACGAACTTTTTTCTGGAACACCTCGTTGTTAACTTTGGATTTAGTAAAATCATCAGTAGAAAGGAAATTCTCAACACCAAGGATGTAATCAACTTTGTTCATAATGACTACCGCATTACCTTTGTCAGCTTTTGTTGCAATTAAATTATTGATTTTAAATTTTTTCTTTAAAGAATTGATCACTTTTTGATGAAAAATACCCTTAGGTTGTGTGGCTAGCTTCAACTTGTTATGACATAAAGCTCGGAAATGGTGTTGATCAACCTTATTATCTAGTTTATGAATCACACATTCTAAATCTGTTTTGAAGTTGTCTAAAGTATTCTTATCCCAATGACCGGGGTTAAATTTGAGACCTTTATTCAGAATGAGTTCTTCATCTCTTTTAAATTGTACATTCGATAAGTTTAAAACTCTATCATGAAATAAGAAAGGGATGGTTCCCTTCGGGATCTCTCCGACATTCGAAAGCTTAGAAGAACGAAGCCTGTATAATTTATTATTGAGTTTGTCGAAAATAGTAATCCCGAAGGACTCCACTTCGTCCTTAACCTTCGAAATTAACATATCCAATTCCAAGTTGTGAAGAATTTTATGTAAGGCAAGATGTATACCGTATAAATCCAGGTTGATTTCATTCCTCCGTTGGTACCAGTGTAGTAATTCAGATTTAAGCCAAGTACGTTGTCCGTTATAGACAGCTTTGAGAGCGCTGGTAGACCGACTCTTAGTTTTAAGTTGGATATAATTCGGGATTAGATTCTCTTTCAGACAGGTGTTGTTGAACCAAATGTTGAGTGACGTTCTTTTCATCTTTAAGGAGTATTTCCTATCATTGAAGGAGCTGATTGATCAGGATGATGTTAATGAGCTGAGCACTCTGAACGATATAAGCGATCTGAATCACCTGAACGATCTTGGTGATTCAAATAATCTGCAAATTAAAGCATCTAATAGATCAGAAGGATTATCTATAGAGCTGGATGAATCTGAAGGTTTTAGACGATATGATAGGTTTGACTCTGAAAGTTCACCAGCTCCTAAAGGTCTGGAAAATGTGAATTACTTGAGGAACCCCAATGTACTATTTTTTCCTTCCTTGAGTTGGGCTATTTCACGCCTACGCACTTTGACTCTCGGATCTATTGTGCGTGTCTCAGTGTCTTACTTCGAGGAAGGCAGTTTGTTAAACAATCTAAGAATCCTTTCCGGCTGCAACTCCCTGACCTGCTGAGGTGCCATTTCAGCCTCGCCCACGTCTTGTGATCTCTATCCGGAGACAGCCTCACGCTAGAGAAGAAGCGTTCCGCTGTCTCTTCCTCCTAGAAGCAGAGGCGACATGTGTTAATGTCAGTTATCCGATTTTGTTAAGATGATAGCTCAGGGGGAAGTGTCCACTTGTCCAGTGACCATTATGACCGTACTTCACTTCTGATGAGTGCTAGGAACGATCTGGTTTTAGTCTCCTGGAAACTCATCAGTTTCTTGGATTGTCTTAGTCCAAGGGTAAATTCCCATAGACGTTTCCACTTTTTCCTGAGCTGGCGACAGTCAGGAGACAACGTGCTTGTATATTCCCAACAACGCAGTTGGTACTAAAGGGGCACACATACGTAATATTATCCGTATTACGAAACGCCATTTTACAGAAGTATGATAATTCTAGAACTAACATAAAAGGAATTCTCGCGCTACATTCTATTGGTGTATTAATCAATAACGTAGATAGTTACAAAACTTTCCCGGGCTTAGAAAATAATCGATGCTACTCTTAAAATGTACCTGGAAGCCTAGGAACTAGGATGTAACAAAAGGGAAGGAAATTACTAGCAGGCAGCTTTTAAACACTACAGTTGATAAGGATGGTCACAATCTTTTCCTTTTCATCTAAATTAAAAGCTAAGGTGGACATTTACTTCCGAAAGCAACTCTACAAAAACAACATAAGGTAGCAAACGGCATGCAGGTCAAGCAGCACAACACACACTTACCCTTTCTCTACTTCCTTTTTTCTGAAAGAAAAAGCAAACAGTTCAATTAAAATTCTTGAATCTCCAAGGTTACCCAAGCACCCACTCGAATTTATTATATAAATTCTCTCATCACCCTCGCCTGCCTGAATTTCTTAATTGAGTTTGAAGATATTGTGTTAATTTTGACGCTCCACTTACATATATAAATTAATTAACTCATCCTGACGAATTAAGAAATACATGAAAGGCTCTAGAAAGTGAAGTTACAAGATACCATTTCATTACTCGTATTTATTTTGACGATTAAATTTACGTCCGCACTTCGTAATTATGAGAAATTATCCGTTCGAGCTTTCGTAATAACAAAAGGACGCAAAAAAAGATACCCTCGCATTCCTAGCTTTTTGCCACTTTATTGCGTTCATTCGGAGCAAGATAAAAGATATCGACGACCACTTTGGGATTTTTATAGTTGTTTGTTAAAACGGAGAGGTCAGAAGTGCCGTTTTTCATTCAAGGATTCGATAACGTGCGTGTTTGGTATTATCATTGAATAATAAATTGGTATTATTCTGAATAATAAAGTGGATGATATCTCCAACTGCTTTTGATTAAACCGACTTTGAAGACATATTGCGGTACGCTCCTTATGGTAATTCTGAAATTCTTGCATTTGTCATACGCGAATTGCATTCTGCATATCTATTTTAAAAACATTTTCTATTACAGACCTACTCGTCTTTTCTAGAGGTAGATATTTCATATCACTTTAAATCTTTCCTTCAATCTACCTCCTCTGGAATGTGGGTGAAAAAATCCATGATTCTCATCCAAATGTGATTTTGTTCCCTGTACTTTTTGGCCCATGTGTTGGTTAGAAGCGCCGAGAGGTTCTTTCCGTTATCGCGAATGAATGTATAAAAAACTTTCGTATTATGTAACTGCACCGTGAGTGAAATAAGGGTATTTGAACTCCATGTTTGAAATACGTAAGCCTAGAGTGATATCACATTGCCCTCAATTAGAAAAATAGGTTAGACGGAAATATGGTGTCGTTTAGCAAACAACCTTCTCCTATTTCTGTAAAGACAATAAGTTTTCAAATAACACCACGTCTCATTTTACTTGCGACATAAATAGCGAAGATAACTGTTTGGGAAAAATTTCATCTTGGCCGTTTAATGGAAGAAAAACTATCCGACGGAAGGATTCCAGACTACATTTGCATTGTTTAATACTTCGATACCATTATCGATGTAAGGAGAGTGTATCGCCCTTATTATTGTAACATCAGCATTAGCTACGAGGATCGTCTGTTTGAGGTGCCATAGCTTATGCATGATCTACGTCAAATTAAAGGCTTTATATCTATGAAGAACTAATAATCTGAATTTGTGGATGTGTTCCATTTGTAACGGGATCCCTCAATGGAGGTTGATTTTTTTTAATTTTTGGAAGGTTAGATTCGAATTTTCGTTGGAGTCCCTTAGTGTTAGGAAAGGGCGATTCTAGTTCCGAGTTGGTATTCCAAAATTTGTTATTCTAAATTTTATTGTCATTTCCAAAGGACTGAGTTCAGAGAGAGAAAATTAATTAATGCACTTTGAGCTAGCGTAGAGCTCACTCCAAGTTTCTAAAAGAGCGGATTCGTTTGTGGGCCCCGAGGGCATCAACTGCGTGGTTCAAAATACAATTTTTGATGACGTCGCGTGGCAAGCAGAGTGATGTGACTTCAAGAGCTAGAACATTATTTAGTTAATAATCTGCGTGCGTATATTTTGAGTAGGTGAACAAATCAAATTCGCGGAGAACGATCTATAAGAGATTTCGCGTGTGAAATGCTGGCTGCGTCGTTTCGAGCACGAACGTTTCTTACGTTACATGCGTCTTCTCTATTCGTATAGAAAGCACAGTACGTTTGTTCACTTATTTGGAGAATATATACATTCAATCAAAGATCAACCACCCTATCACGAGACTATATTTCCAAGCAATCAAGCTGTTTAGAAGGTATTACGGTACTTGAGCGTGGGAAAAGTCTGGTAACCGTGGGGAAACATTTCGGCAGTTGGCCCAGGTCAAATTTTGGCAATTGGCTCTGCGGTAGTTTTGGCAATTGGCCCCGGGTGCAAGGCTAAATTTTGGAAATGGGTCCAGGGTGCCCTAACCGGGCATTTTGGTAGTGACCCGGGATGCTCGATAATATTTCGGCAGTTGGTCCCGGTGCCATATTTCCCCATCTTGGATGCTGGATTAATCTCGAATGCTGGGCCCACCTTCTTGGATGCTGGAGTCGAGACTTTGACGTCATTGTGTTGTGTCACGTGTTCTATTTTTTTATTGGTGTTTGGATTCGAACCCACGCTACCTGAAATAGAAGGCTAACGCGTAGTCATTTGAGCTACGGAGGCTTTAACAATTTTATAGTTAGAGGTCTCAGTCAATTCGGTGACTGCTCGATTCCGAAATATGCCCGGACACCCCGGACCAATCACCAAAATTTGACCTTGCATTCTGGGGCAATTGCCAAAATTACTCCCGAGCCAACTGCCGAAATATTTGTCCACGCTAAAGTACCGCAATACCTACTCCGTTCAATACAAAGCATTTAAATTTAGAGGAAGGTTCAGTATTCCAGCTACGCACCAAGATAAAACAGGAAAGTCGTTCCGTCTACAATCTACTAAATTAAGGTCAAGATTTGCTTTATATTGTAACGTTAAATGTTGAATGTAGGTTTGAGTTAGTTCCTGAATGCGCTTTTACTGTGTTAGGAGTGTAAGTTGGCACAAATGGGAATGGTGGAAGATCATTTTTGCTTTTGTCGTTGAAATGAAAGGTACCTACTTTGTGAAAGATGTGGAAATCTGAAGTGAAAACTCCAAAGTCAACAAGTTAAAATTGTCTAAATTATTTATCGAAACGTATTTACGTAAATGGATCTTTGTTGATATCTTTCCGAGGTAAAGTTACTTTCATCGGATTCCTCATTTGGCCATCCACGTTTCTTTTTAAGTTATGCTATCTGTTTTAATTTAATTACCTCTTTCCTTTACCTATATCGTAATCCGAAACCCATTTATTACGTTATACATAAGTTTCAATTATTTGATTTTAATCTGGTTAGTTTTTTGGATGTATCTTTTTGTGTACGAAACGAGCATTATTAAAAAAGTACCATTGTTCTGGATGAAATGCCAACTCTCATTTTTGAATCTAAGGTTGATATCTGTCAAGAGCTGATTTGACACATGGTATTTTCTTATTATATGGAAATTGGGAGACCTTTCACACCCCTACCGTTAAAATCTGGTGCAAGGGGAGGGGGGAGGCAACTTGCATCACTTTCTCCAAATTTGCATTGGTGTTCCACTCCACAAAGCAGGCATTACCCATGGCATTCTTCTGGTTGTATAGTTGATTCCATCTCCTTTCCTTCGTGCCCACAACTAGGTACTCGGCAGTTCATTTCAATTACATCTGAATGCAAATAATCGAACCCATCAGAATTACTTTTGCATTTCTATAAAAATGAAACCTTCTGCTTATATTTAAATAAATTAGGGCAACAATTCTGGCTTCGGTAGCCATTTGTTATGCTTTAATGACATAAATTGCGTGTGCTTTACCATCAGTTACATAATTCTGCAGGATTATGCAATTGCTAGGATAAGTACGAAATTATGTTACGTATGTAAGTAAATGTTACAAAAATGTAGGTAATTTTATGGAAATAGCCTTTAATGCAGTTACTTTGCATTTGTATTCAGATTCATGAGCATAACTTGCATTAATTACTTGTAATTAAAGCTGTTGGGTAAACTAGCTTTAAAATTGTAGTATTCTATGTCATCGCTTCTGTTACAGAGCACTTTGTAAATGCCGCACGTAAACCTTTTGAAATTTTCAATGAATAAACGAAATGAGTATTTCGCACAGCCAAAAAAGTGGCAAAAAGTTAGTTTGGTAGTTCCACTTGCATCACTTAACATGGAATTGAGTTACGTCCCGCAATATCGAAACTATTATGAAGTTTATGTGGAAGCCATCACAGCCCTCATAATTCGATTTGCAAGGCATTCAAGAGAGGGAACAAGTTTATCCCCGATGCACGAGAAACTTGGCAAACAAAATTACCTGTAAACTAAATCTCCGATGTGGTGCCTTTCGTCCCCCTCTCCTTTTTGATATATGAGGATTATCCAGTCTAATTGTTTTATTCTTAAAAATTTCTAATTGGACGTACAGTCTCTTCAGTTCCGCACGAATGTCTTCGGGGTTCATATCGGCTAAGCTCACTTCGCCGACATCCGCGTCGCTATTGTTGCTCGTTAAAGGTCCATGAGCATTCATTTCCTAGGGCAAGAAAAAAAACATTAGACGAGTACAGAGGATCTTTAAATTATGTTGCGCCACTGCACCGCATACAACGGAAGGTGAAACTCCTAAACGACAATTATTCCTTATTTAAAATATTTTGGGATGTTTAAATTTCTTTACTTTCAAAATTGAATTTGCTACAATGTAACAGCTGAAAAAGTACAGCGTCTGTCATCTCTTCTTATTCGTATTAATTAATTTTAGCCGCCGATGTTTAATTAGTTTAAAATTAATTTAATGTCTCTATACTAAGGGAGAGAATTTTCCTTGGGGTTTTTAATTTACACATAAAAAGAGTTTTAAAATTGAAATAAAAATTTTCCAACGACGTTTTTAACTTAATTTTAAGAAGACATTTAAAAGTATTAATTCTATACTATATAATTTTATTTTGCTAGCTTGCGTTTATTACGCCCCCAACGGTAGACAACACACAAAGCGATAACCTACAGAAATTGTAAAGTTTGACCTAGTATGATGTTTGGTTTGACACATATTACATTTGCTGAACAAATTTGTAAAGCAAAATGATATTTCACGTAATAACCAAATTTGACAGATTTTGTGACCTTTGTAGGAAAAAGATTTTCAATTTCTCATTTTTAACGCAGTATCAGCAAACAATCATAACAAGATACGAAGAATCGTATACGATTTTCAGGAGGGGATTTTTTTGCAATTCAGGGCGCATTTGGAAACCATACTTTTAATCTACAGCATTCTATTTTTGGGGATATCGTCACAAAGCTTGCGAATGTGTTCATCTGCCATCAGCGCCTTTTCTTTAAACAGCATGCGATTATATTAACCAGCCCGCGTTTTGTTTTGCACCGGTCAGGGGGAAAATTTCTATAAAGTAGATATCCAGCAGAGATCGAAAAGCCGACGCGTTGGAAAGTAAATGCGACCCATGAAAAGAATAATTTTTTCCATGACTTGTTTTTTATTGCGAAATACAACTGAATAAACTTTTTGATTTGCGTGCGCCATTTGAAAGTGAATTAGATTTTTTTCACTTAAATTTAAGAATAGGTAATTCATCTAGTTGTTTATTAGACTAAAATATCTTTGACTATTCAATTCATCTAACATTTGTCACATTTCGACCAGTGAAATGTCGAGATTTCAAATTGTTGAGCCAATGGGAACGAATTATAGTGATAATTTCACGTGTAGTATTTCAGCGATAATTTCACGTGTGGTATTTCAGCGACAATTCAACTCATGTATAAAAAATCGCATAAGCCGCAGTGAAATTGTCACTTTGACAGCGGCAAAAGTTACTTGCAACTTTTCCAGCGACAAATGCACTAGTGGTTTTTTCACTTATTCATTTTCGAACCAATTATCGCATTACCCTTTCCCATATGACTAGTTTGACGTCTGTCAATAATTGATTAATTTGGTGAATTTCTTGTTCGTTAAATTGTCCTGCCGAATTACACTCGAGGTTTGTATTTAAACCGAGTAAATTTGGGTTGTGGCAATTCAAATCTGTTTCCTTTTAGCAATTGGACTCGAAAAACTGTCAACCTAAAAATGCTCCACCTGCGGTGTCGCATTTTTATTAGTTGACAGTTTTTCTCGTCTAATTACTAGGCAACAGATTTTTATTACCTAAACAACCCAAATTTACTCGGTAAAATACAAACCTCTTGTGCAATTATAAGTGACAATTCAACTCATGTATAAGTGACAATTCAACTCATGTATAAAAAATCGCATAAGCCGCAGTGCAATTGTCACTTTGACAGCGGCAAAAGTTACCTGCATCTTTTCCAGCGACAAATGCACTAGTGGTTTTTTCACTTATTCATTTTCGAACCAATTATCGCATTATCCTTTCCCATATGACTAGTTTGACGTCTGTCAATAATTGACTAGTTTGGTGAATTTCTTGTTCGTTAAATTGTCCTGCCGAATTACACTCGAGGTTTGCATTTAAACCGAGTAAATTTGGGTTGCTGCAATTCAAATCTGTTTCCTTTTAGCAATTGAACTCGAAAAACTGTCAACCTAAAAATGCTCAGTTGACAGTTTTTCTCGTCTAATTGCTAGGCAACAAATTTTCATTACCTTAACAACCCAAATTTACTCGGTAAAATACAAACCTCTTGTGCAATTATAAGTGATAATTTCACGTGTGGTATTTCAGCGACAATTCAATGCGATTATTCAATGACATTTGTCAAACTTCCACCAGTGAAATGACGCGAAATTTTGTCGTATTAACCGGAACATTCTTCTTAGTTTGTTAATCAATTTCGACAACCGACTTATCACCACATCTTTTAATTTAATCACTCATAACGAATTAGCTTGGAGCACAAAAGTTCGAATAGAATCAATAGCAAAATGAAAAGCAACTTCCATAATTTATTTTGACATTTATTGTTGTCATGGAAATACATTCGCGTGGGTAATTATGCTTAATTTTTCTTTTGATTCATTGAATAGTCCTCCGAATACCATTCGTAGTCGAAGTATTTGTAGATTATTTTTGAGCTGCTGCTCCACTCATGCTAGTTACGCTTTTTAATACCACTCGCGCAAGCGCTCGTGGTATTAATCAGCGTAACTAGCATTCGTGACAGCACCTCAAAAATATTCGACAATACTTCGACTACTTATGGTATTATATATGAATATTTGTTATTGCATTAGGTTTAGAGATTGTTCTTTTAAAAGCTATTATCAGCATTTTACAATTAATGAGTGAACTCGTGAAAGCTGCATTCTTTCCTTAATTTTCAGCTAAGAAAGTCAAGAAATCATCGAAGCTCCAGTAGCACAAACACCAAACATGAAAATGGCTATCATAACGAAAGCGATGCAAAGACTGAAAGAAGAAATGCAAGGGCTTGGACAAAAGAAAATGTAGAGTGATTTTCTCTTCAGGTCGTATCTGAGATCATATAATGTCACACTCATATACGTACTTCACGGTTTTATAGCTTCTGTTTGTACAGGTTCTAACTCTACACCCCCTAATTATAAAGTGGTGAAACTAAAATAACAACGGCTTTTAAAATTTATAAGCCGATGCTAACAATTTCCCAACAAAACAGTTAAAAAGTGATCAGCGTAAAACCGGAGCTTTAAATAAACTCTCAGCTTTCGGCTAATGTACTGTAGAATTACGACGACTAGTAGATATATTTCATTGGACAAAAAACGAGCATTATCGCATGCCGTACAGGTCAGTTAGCATTTCGAACTTTCCAACTTTCAATCTAAATTGATTAACGTAATTGTTGAAAATTTTGATGAAACTCATTAAAATTAGCGCAGTAAAATTAGCTCCAAAAGTAGTCTAAACTGGATGTTATCAATTCTCTCAACCTTTTCCAACAATTGTCTAGAGGATCCTTGGAAATCGACGGACTGTGGATTTTTTTTTCAAAATCCGAATAATTGTCATAGTTACAAATGGAATAATTTTCAAAATATAACAAGAAATGCAACTGTATAATAGGCAAATAGAAATGTGTACATTTAAAAACAGTATAAATTGAGCACAACTCTTGTGCAGATAAATCGCAATTTTTTAAAAC